GACCAATGCTCAGACAAAGATCTACTGAACACTATCACATCGTCCAAGTAAATCAGGCACTGTTCCCATTGCAAGCCCCGCATCACCAACTCCATCAGCCGCTGGAACGTCGCAGGCGCATTGGTGAGTCCGAACGGGAGTACTCGAAACTCGAATAGCCCCATCGGGGTGGTGAATGCAGTTTTCGGCCGATCCTCCTCCGCCATCTTCACCTGCCAGTACCCGGACGCGAGATCGAGGGTGGAAAAATATCGCGCTCCGGCGAGGCTGTCGAAGGTGTCGTCGATGCGGGGTATGGGGAAGGCATCGCCGAGCGTGACTGCATTTAGTTTACGGTAATCGACGCAGAACCGGGTTGACCCATCCTTTTTCGTTACTAGTACCACTGGGGCTGACCAGGGGCTCGCCGAGGGCTGAATTATGTTATCGCGAAGCATGTCCCCAACTGCCTCTTTGATTTGGGCGCGTTCGGGTGCGCCCACTCGGTACGCAGGGAGTTTGATGGGTCGGGCTGCACCGGTGTCAATTTGGTGCTTAACAAGATCGGTCCGACCCACGTCCGAGTCGTGTTCACTGAATACGTCGGCATACTCCCGCAGTAACTCGCGCAGCCGATCGCCCTCTCCCTTAGGTAAATCCGCCCATGGTACATGTAACGCGTCGAGCAGGGGAACGACCTCGGCTCGGGGAGTCGGGCCGACTCGCCAGGCCAGGTCCTGGTCACCCTCAGGACAACCGGGGTCTTCAGCCCAGAGTGCGAACACCGAGTCGTTAGAGTGGCGTGCGTGCAGGGGGTGTACGGTGGCTATCGGGGTGCGCCGTCGCAGTGTCGCTGGGGTATTGTGGGGGTTAAACATCCGCATAAACAATCGGTCCCCATCTGCGTTTACCAACGTGGCGGATCCCACTATCCCATACCGTTTTGCCAACTCCGGGTGAGGAGTTAGCATTACCTCTCCTGATGGTCGGAGCGCGGGGTCGGTCGGGGATGTTGCCACCGGCACCAGCATCTCGGTGAGCGGGCCGATGGTGACTGCCGTCGCCAGGATAGCGGCCACAGGTGCGAAGCGGGGGCGCGTCGGTTCTCGTCCCAAGAACGGAATCCGCTCGCCGTTGCTCTCCATGGTGGCGCATCGCTGGCGGGGTTGCACGTTGAGTCCCAGCCGTTCTAAGAGGTCGGTACCTGCGATACAATCGTGACACAACGCACTCGACACGTAGAACTCCTGGGTGCACACCTGACTGCCTATGCGGACCTCTAGGGTGGCTCTCCCCAGCAGCCCCATTCCGGCTCCGCTCGCCGTGTGCAGCGCGCGGTCCGGTGCCTGCAGGTGACGCACGTCGACCCCGATCGCGCTGCAGTGCGCTGCGCTCACGAGCGAGGCCACCGCCCCCGTGTCCAGCAGGATACATAACTCCGTTTACCTCTCCTTCCACCAGCGACGTGGCCCCTGTGATCCCCGCCACCAGCTCCCGTAGCCAGTCGCCAGGAGTCACCGTTTCTGTGGGCGTTGTTGCTAGAACCTGTGTGGAGATCACTCGCTCGCCATTATTCTCACAGCTTGTTTGTGTCGGGGCCACGTCGATTTCACCCCCCGGTGGTCCCCTCTCTAGGGGGGCCTTAGTGTTTGCCCTCAGCGCGTTTCTAGCGCGGGCGATCTGCGGACAGTCTCTCACGAGATGCCCTCGCCGGTCACACAGGTAACACGCATGGGGGGCCGTCCCGTAGGAGCCCCCCCGTCCGTTCCCTATCCCCCCTCCGGCACGCCGCTGCCCTGACTCTGCCTCTAGTCGAGCCACTCTCCCAGTTAATCCTCCTACCTCGGCCTGGACCGTCTCTACCATTGTCTCCAGCGCAGTCATGTGTGCCCGTACTTGGGTTACCTTGTTGTCTACTTGGGTTACCCTGTCACCTACCTGGGTTATCCTGTCGCCTACCTGGGTTACCTTGTTGTCTATCTGGGTTACCTTGCCGGAGACATCATTTATACCCGTTTGTATACCGGCAACCCATCCCGGGGTTGTCTCGCGGGACACTGGAGGCTCTCTTTCCCGGCCCCTTACCGTCCTCGCGAGCTCCTGTTCCTCCTCCTCGTCTTCCGAGAGCAGGCTCGCAATGGCGCGCTCTCGTCCCAGCCCCCGGAGCTGCGCACGTTCGCTGTGAATTCTTTCACACTTACGTGCGCGCTCGACAAGGGCGTTAAAGGGAAGACGTGGGCAGCTCATGTCTGGCTGCCACCACGCCGTGCGAGACAGGTACCGCTGGATTTTCTCGGCGGCCAGTTCCTCAATAACATCAGTTGCGTACCCCAGGCGTGCGATGTTTGTTAACTCGCGCACATCCTCGGCGTATTCATGTAGATCTTCGCCAGGTTGGCGACGGCGCGCCTCTAAGGCCGATTTTGCTTCCTCCTCGTCACGCGTGCCAAAACGCTGATCGAGTCGGCGCATCAGCTCCTCTAGCTGTGTCTGTGCGCTCGCGGGTAACGCTTCTACAAAATCGGCTGCCCGCCCATCAAGATTCATATTAAGTTGACGTACTGCCTGCGCGTCCGTCCATCCATTAATTTCCTTGGCCCCTAAGAGATTGTGGGCGAATGCCTTCCACGAAGGGGCCCCCCGGCCGGTAAATATTAGTCTTATTTTAGCGTGAGGTAACGCGGGGGTCCGTACCGCTTCTGACACCAATTTGTGGGGGCCGTTGGCCCCCGGGGTCCCTCCCGCCTGCATCCCCTATTCCGTTTACGTTACCCCATCTCCTTATTACCCGCTACGGTTTCGCCGGCATTCGAACGCGACGCCCCTACTGTTACAGCCTCGCGCCGCGCTCCCACGCTGCGAGCATACGTGCGCACATCATCATCAATCAAACGCCACACTTCCCCTCTTTACACCGCTACGTACAGCTCTCGTATACTGCGAGCGTGTGCCCGCCTATAGCCCTGTGCGGCACGTTACCAATGCGCATCCGTATCCGACACGTAGCGAACGTATGCGCACTCCCACACACACGCCGCTCCACGCACTCCAACTCCACTCACGTTATGATCGCGCACCTGTATCACACACGGAGTGAACACACGCGACACCCACTCTCGCGCCGCTCTGCGCAGCGCTCCCCCGAGGCGAGCCGCAGCACTACACTCACCCCTGACTACTCGCGTTATGACCGCGCACCTGTATCGCACCCGGGGTGGACGCACGCACACACACGCAGCTCCCCACGGGACACTCTGCACGACAAGATCACGCAAGACCACGCTTCGCTATTAATGATTTATTATATGCTACCTGCGAATTGATGTTGAATCAATGAGTCGACGAGGCTGGCCTATTCCACTAAACCTGTACCTATTCCCTGTTTATCGGCTTACGATACCCTACTTCACCTCCCCACTCACTGTTTGGTGCCCGCGGTGGTTCGCTGCTCCCTGTGCTAACAGCGCACCTCGATGCGTCGCACGGACGTCCGGGTCGCTGGCTGGAGTTGCGGCGGGTCCGCTGGCCTGGAGAGAAGAGAGCGATTTCCCCTCTGCGCCCCTCTATTTATCCTCCCTACCTCAAAGGGGATGCTGCGCTGAACAATGGGCTCGTGCACCTCGAGCCCCCGCACGGCGGTTCCGGGCGCTTTTGATCTGCTAATCAGTGAGCTGCGTTGGCGGCGTACATCCTAATTACTCCCTTACCCTTCCTAACAATGGGGCCTGCGCGCTCAAGCGTAATTATCCCAACCCTCCATGACTATGCGCAACAGCTCCTGCGGTCCCGCTATTCATGCTGTCCCGTCCCTCCCCTGCTTGCCCCGTCGACCCGTGGGGGTGTGTGTGGGGGGAAATGCGCCTCAACCGCGGTGGCCGAATGCCCCATGCCGCGACCACACCATATTAAGGCTGGTCGCAGCGCCGCGGCGCAACGTAGCATGGGGGAGGTCGTCCAATTCCCTGATCGCCGGAAACCGTGAGAGTTAACCCCGATAAGGGTTTCTCGGATAAAAACCGGTCGGCCAGGTGACCTCCCCTCGGAGCTCTATGGGGGGGGGGGGGGGAAATGCGTGCGGGTGTGTTCGTGTGAGGTGAGGTGAGGGGGACGCGGGGTCGGCTCCGTTGCTTGGTGGTGGCGAGGTCGGGGATTTGGCGCCTGCCGAACGGCTTCGCGGCGGCGGCATCACACCTGGTCTGTCGCTCCACACAAAGCTTCAGGTCTTCTCGGCCACAGTCATTCCCTCCCTTCTCTATGCTTGCGAAATGTGGACCCCCCCAAATGGAACATCTTCGCCGGTTAGAAACATTTAGGCTGGCCTGCCTACGATCCATCCTGGGTTTTAGTAGGCTGGATTGTGTGAGGAGCTCACAAATCCTTGAATGATCTGGGCAAAGTCCCATCAGTGAGCTCCTCCAACAGGCAAGGCTGCGTTGGCTGGGTCTTGTAGCCCGCATACCCAGCCACCGCATACCTAAACAGCTTTTGTTCGGCCGGATCGAGGGAGCTAAAAGGGACGCAGCACGGGCTAGAGAAGAGAGTGATGTGGTACAGGAGGACATGGAGCTGAGTGGACTTGCCGATGACTGGTACCAGCGGTGTCAAGATCGGCCTCAGTGGAGGAGGCTCGTGATGGACGCTACTGGGCAGTTGGAGGCAGTTGCCCTCCAACAACAACGGAGGGCGGAGGAGCGACGCTCACAACAACGAGCAGAGCGCCGGGTGGCTAAAGCACAGCAAGTTGGCACAGTAGGGGGCACAGGTGGTGCATCAGCCAGTCATCTCGGTCATCTGTCAGTTGACCCGTGGCACCTCGGTGTGCCCCGTGACCTCCTGCCAGCGGGCGTTCGACACTTCACGTGGCCTCAAGGTGCACATGGCCTGGCACAAGCGTCGTGGTGACGTCACCGCCACTTAGTGAATGGCGGTTGTTGTTGTGTGTGCGTGCCCCGTGTGTGTGCGTGTGCCCTGTGTGTCTGTGTGTGTGTGCAATTGTTGTGACTCGTTCCGCCCCTTCCGACATGCAAGCCAGCATCAGAACTCAAGGTACGTGGAAATTAAACGGATTTTTTCGTATTTATGTTACTTTACTTTTTATTAACGATAGTATTTTTTGCACAGTGTCACATGCGAATATCTCTATATATAAAAGGGAAATTTGTGAATGTGTGTCTGTTCAAAATGTTTAGCGTAATTCTCGGCATGCAACAAACTTGAAATTTGCCATGTGGGTACTTTCCAGAATGTACACCATGCAAAAATTAGAAAAAATAACTTTTGTATTTTTTTGGTGACGATTATTTGAACCGGTCCTGGGCCTCCCCTAGGTCGACTCAGCCTCAAACGAGTAAGTGGTGTGGTGTGTGAACATCGCCACTGGGGAGACAAAGGCGGCCGGGCGTGGTGCTGGCCACCCAGCCCCTCGTGTGCCGTGCCGGCCTTCATAGGTGCTCGCTAACAGCACTTGCCCCCTACAGTCTCACAGGCTACACGGGGGATCTTTGTCTTTATTCCGTGTGTGTGTGGGGGGGCGGCGACTGCGTAGCGTTTCGCGTGCTGCGCTACGAACCCGGCGACCCGAGTTCGATTCCCGCTCACGGCCGGTCCTGGGCCTCCCCTAGGTCGACTCAGCCTCAAACGACTAACTGGTGTGGTGTGTGAACATCGCCACTGGGGAGACAAAGGCGGACGGGCGTGGTGAATCCAAGTCCCGGGCGAAGCCGGGTAGTAATGCTAGTATACAATATGACTTCTTATTCATGAGTTTAACAATGCTTCCCTGTTTGTTCAATCATAGCGCAATTTATAACACTGACCCGAATGGGCGTTTAAATACATGAGTGTGTGAGTTATGAACCGTCCGATTTACGAACGGGGTCTCAGCAACTAATTGTACCCGCAAGTCAAGGCCGGCTCGTACTTTCACTGTGATCAGTGCCGGATTAAGCAATAGCAGGGCCTGTAGCATATGTTATAAACGGGCCCTAAATAAAAAAAATCGTAAATATTAAAACACACTTGCATAGTAAAGTTATTGTATTTTTTCATTTGCTAAACAGCCAGATACTACGACAAATCGCTAACCTTAAACACCCAGTCTTTCATAAAAGTGGAAGGCGGTATAGTACTATAGTAATAGAGCAAGTGCAGAATCACTGAACCGGAATTGATAGCTTTAAAGTATTTAGCCCGGAGCCCTTGAAAGTGCGGTGCCCGTAGCATTATGTAGCTACTTTTGCTACGACGATAATCCGGCACTGACTGTGGTGGTGGGAAGCGTCCATCTAAGACACCATTCAAACCCACAGTGTCCTGGTCTCGGCTCACTGCCGATGAAAGTTGCAAGCGGGAATTTCATTATTGTTTGCAGCTGGGGTTGGCATCGTCCCGTCGTCCCTCCCCCTCCTCCTGACAATGGGCGAGTGTCAGGACTGTGGCTCATGCAGAGCTGCTATGGCTGCGTTGGGTACGCAGTCCAAACCTCCCCTGAAACCCTGGCTGACGGAGGTGGTGTTCCGGCTGACTGAGAGAAAGCGACAGGCTCTCTCCCACCGTCTACAGCATCCCAAGTTGGAGAATTCGGAGGCTTACCGCAGCCTTCGCTCGGAGGTTCAGAGAGCCGTGCAGCGCTGCAAGGATGGGTGGTGGTCGCGGGTTGCTGAGGAAATAAAATCTGCCTCAATTGCTCGCAACACATTCCTGCGGAGGGAGCTGGTAGGAACGTTGGGTTGCTCGTTCAATGGCCAGGGTCAACGGCGGCGTGGTGTATTCCGCAAATATGGCCGACTGTGAGGGCGGGCACAAACCGGCGTGAGTAGGTTAAACGTTGAGTTTTATAAGGGCACCACGGGGTGACCAGCCCCTCCCCACCCAGCCCCTCCCCACCCAGCCCCACCCCTCCCACCCCCCACCCAGCCCCACTCTCCCCACCCAGCCCCTCCCCTCCCCACCCAGCCCCTCCCCACCCTCCCCACCCTCCCCACCCAGCCCCTCCCCACCCTCCCCTCTCCACCCAGCCCAACCCCTCCCATTTTTGGATGCACGACGGACGGACGGACACAATAATCCCCTGTGGGCTGGTGGAACCAGGTGGTTCCTACCAGTATTAACAAATCACTCTTTAATCACCATCAAAAAAGTAACTTGCACCACCATACCTAAAACCACCGTTAAGGGAAAGAACGGTGACCTCCGACCACCAGGAACAACTTCTGCAGATTTTCTGAGCATTTCTGCGAGGTCTTTGTGGAGGGGAAACCCCTCGGCCCAGATAATAGCATAGGGCAAGGTGAGGCTGCGGTGCCTCAAATATTGGAGCACTTGCCCCCAACATTCTGTTACGACTACACAGAGGAGTCAGAGTCACGCTCGATTCGCTGCTGAATGGCGGAGTTGGTGGGGAGGAAGGTCTAATGCCTTAAGCGACCTTCTCCACGCCAGGTGATTGTGGTGAGTTTGGTGGAGGTGGGGGGGGGGCATAGGAGGTGCAGTACAACAGATGGGGCACTCCAGACTCCACGAGGAGGCAGAGTAGCCCCAAACTAGCGTATGCACGGTGGCTCGAAGCTACGAGTCTATTTATAGAGAGGATGAGACTGGTTAATCTCTCTCGCCCTCTCTCTGTGTCGCCACCACCATCACCATCATCATCCGATTAGAGAGGAATACACGGGGAGAGAAACACACAGAGAGACAAGGTGAGTGTTAGAGAGACGGAGAGAGAGAGACAATGTGAGCAATACAAAGAGAGACACGGGAAGAGAGACGCACAGAGAGAAGGTGAGTGTGAGACACACAGAGAGAGAGAGACAATGTGAGTGAAACACAGACAATATGAGTGTTAGAGAGAGAGAGACGAGGTGAGCGATACAGGGAGATAGACACGGGAAGAGAGACGCAGATAGAGAGAGAAAGGTGAGTGCGAGTGAGAGATCCGGGGAGAAAGACAAGGTGAGCGTGAGAGAGACACGGAGAGAGAGGGACACTGGGAGAGGCATAGAGGAACAGAGAGACACGGCGAGGGAAATACACACAGAGAGACAAAGCGAGACGGAGAGACGGGGTGGGGGGAGACACGGGGAGAGAGAGACACACACAAGGTGTGAGAAAGAACGATATATAGAGAGACAAGGTAAGTGAGAGATAGAGCGGCATACAGGGAGAGAGATACAAGGTGACAGAGAGTGACATAGAGACAGAGAGGGACACACAGGGACACACAGACAGAGAGAGACATACATAGAGAGACAGAGAGAGACAAGACACAGTGAAACACAGAGACACACAGATAGAGAAGGTGAGCCACAGAGACGTAGAGAGACAGACAGACTGAGACAGACTGCGACAAAGAAACAGAGAGACAAAGAGGCACAGATAGCGAAACAGAGAGACAAGACAGTGAAACACGGAGACACAGAGAGAGGAACACAGACAGACAGAAACACAGATAGACTGAGACAGAGAGACGCGACATCCGTGCGGTGTAGTTAGCGAGCGCCCATTATCGGCACCATCACCACCACCACCACAGTTGACTGATCAACCTCCATTTCTGGTTGTTTCGTGCAGGGATGGTGACCTCCACCTCCTTCACCCCCATCTGCTCCTTCCCCACCCCATCCACCTCCTCCTCCACCACCTCCCTCACCTCCACCTCTTCCTCCCCTTTCTCCCTCACCTCCACCTCTACCCCTTCCTCCACCTCTTCCTCCACCACCCTCTCCACCTCTCCCCCTTCCCACACCTCCTCCTCCAACACCTCCTCCATCTCCACTTTTTCCTCCCCTTCCTCCCACACTTCCACCCCCTCCACCTCATCCTCCACCCCCTCCACCTCTTCCCCTCCCTCCACCTCATCCTCCACCACCTCCACCTTCGCCACCTCTTCCTCCCCTTTCTCCCACACTTCCACCTCTTCCTCCACCTCTTCACCTTCCTCGACCTCCTCCTCCACCACCTCCACCTTCGCCACCTCTTCCTCCCCTTTCTCCCACACTTCCACCTCTTCCTCCACCTCTTCACCTTCCTCGACCTCCTCCTCCACCACCTCCACCTTCGCCACCTCTTCCTCCCCTTTCTCCCTCACCTCCACCTCTACCCCTTCCTCCACCTCTTCCTCCACCACCCCCTCCACCTCTCCCCCTTCCCACACCTCCTCCTCCAACACCTCCCCCATCTCCACTTTTTCCTCCCCTTCCTCCCACACTTCCACCCCCTCCACCTCATCCTCCACCACCTCCACCTCTTCCCCTCCCTCCACCTCATCCTCCACCACCACCACCACCACCTCCACCATCTTCTCCTCGACCTCGGGCAGGAGCCCCCCACGGCTTCTCTGGGCCCCCGGGCGGTCCCCCCAGACCTCTCTGCTGCTCTTCCTCTTGATCCTGCCCCTGCTGTTGCTGCTGGTGGTGGTGGGTGGTGCGGGAGCGGCGTGCCCAGCCCAGTGCAGCTGCGTCTACACGGGTCGCGGGGGCGAGAGGGGGACCCGGTAAGATTGGGGGGGGGGCCTTTGTGGTGGTGATGAGAGGATGGAAGACTTGGTGAATGAGTGGGGGTTCCGTGCTGGTGGAGGTAGTTTTGGTGCGTATAGAAAGCAGTCCGGCAAAACAACCCCCGACCTCCTTGGTGGTGCCGGACGGTAACTCTGTGATGAACAATACCATGGGAGGTCGGGGGCGGGGGAAGCCAAATTCAATTGGCTATTCTCCTAGTGGCGTTTGTAGCCAACACAGTGGCCAATGGGGGATCTGGAAAGGCGTCAGGGGCTGGCCCACGTTCAACCTAAGCATCACTAAACTATGTGGAACAAATGTAACTAAGCTTGTACTGAAGGCACCAGGGGGATAGGCGTCTATGACGTCTCCTGGCCAAACCCCATTTGGCGGAGCCAGGAGACCAAAACTGCACCCTCGGGGTTCCTCGGGAAATGGCAAAAAAGCCACTGCGAGTGGCTAAATGGGAATGTTTGAATGCTCACTCCAGAGGAGAGGCTGCCACTCCTCTGTCGTGAGCTGGACCAGTATTGCCTGGATCTCTGTGGTATTCAGGAGGTCCGGTGGACTGGCTTTAGCTCCAGGCACCATGAGGAGTGGACAGTCCTCTACTTGGGGCAAAAACTGCCAAACAATAGGGAGTGGCTCTTCTTTTGAACAAAAGAATGAAGGGAGTGTGGGAGAGTGACAGTGAGGTGTAGGAATCTGTAAGCCCCAGGGTACTGTGGGCTTGCCTCCCCATCAACGTGAATCAAGGAATGGTGGTGGTGGTGGTTGCTTATGCCCCGACAAAAGATGAACATGAGTAGAAGGATGCAGGCAAGACTGATGATTTATATGCCTTCTATGACCTCCTGTCACAAGTGTTAGCTAAAGTCATCCTGTTGGGTGACTTTAATGCCCAAGTAGGTCATGACACTGGCATCTGGGCTGGAGTGATTGGAAGGCATGGGCCAAATCAGCTCAATAACGACGGTAGGAGACTACTAGACTTCTGTGCAGCCTATGGGCTTGTCATTACCAGCACACAACATCATGGATGCATGCCAGGTCCAAGCAAGAATATCTGCTGGACTATTTAGTGATGGAACAGTGGACGTGGGCCCATTTCCTTGGCGCCAGGACATACCGTGGAGCTGATCTGCCCACTCACCATCGGCTTGTCATCTGTAAGATGCGCCTACCATTATTCCACTCTGGTAATGGGTGTCCATCTAAGACCCAATTCAATCCCACAGTGGCCTGGTCTCAGATAGCTGATGAAAGTTGCCAGTGAGAATTGGGAAGCGTCCATCAGACACTGGCAATCCAGTGTCTGAAACCAGGAAAAGCGCCGGACAGAGATGATCTCCCAAGCAAACTGCTAAGGGAGGATGGTGTTTCTGTGCAGACTGCCCTACATGACATCATTATAAGTCTGGACCACTGGACGGATTCCGTAGGATTAGAAGGATGCCCTGGTGGCCCCCCTTTTTAAGAAGGGGACCTGCACAGACTGTAACAACTACCGAGGAATCTCCATCCTCAGTGCGGCAGGAAAGGTCCTGGCAATAATTATTCAACATCGCCTTTCCAGGCAAGCTGAGGAGAGGTTTGCAGAGCCCCAATGTGATTCCAGGCCAGGGTGGTCCTGCACAGATGCCAGATTTTCTCTCCATCTGCTACAGCAAAGGTGTGTAGTGACATCGAGGATGTCACTGCATGGTGCCTGGCCCGGGAGGGACGTGGCGTGCGATGTCCTTACATCACCGACAGCGCCGGGTGGGTTGCCGTGTGATGCCGGTTCTAGCATAGCAAGGCGTGTGATGCACCGTCATCGCGTACACCCTGTAGGTGGGTGTAGTACCACCCCTAGCAGGGCTTGGTTAGCGCTGGAATAGCGCCGGCACCACGCATAGCGTGTAGTGCACAAGGGGGAGTGGGAGAGTGTCAGCCCAGGAGCAGGGTTGCCCAGGACCATGGCACTCTGGTTGACCCTGTAGACACGTGATGCGGAGTATCCACAGAGAAGACCCCAGGTTGGGGGGGGGGGCTAGGGGGTGATCACCTGTCCAGGAAGAGCTCTCGAGGGGGATCGAGAAGGAAGCTAGAACGCTCGAGAAAGCGGGCGGGGCCGAGGGCGGAGCCAGCCCCGACCCGGGAGGATATAAGGTGGGTCCCTGAGAGGGACCGGGGTCGCTTCGTTCTACAAGCTGGAAGCTCCACGTCTACAAGCTGAAAGTTCTACGTCCTATGAGGCATCAACACGTGGTCGGGGACACGAGTGAAGGTCCGTACCTTCATAGATGTAACTCCTACGTATAGTGTAGTTAGCTGGGTGGTCAACACCCTAGGCTGTATCTGGTAAAGGGGCAGTTACCCGTTCGTGTTAACGTGTTGATGTTAAATAAATGTGTTGCCTCTAAAGAATAACGTCTGCGACTCACTACACGTGTATGGAATTCTAACAGGACCTACATCTCTGCTTTATTGAGCTGGTCAAGTCCTATGATACCATCAATAGGCCAGGGCTCTGGTTTGTTCTTAGTGCTTCCTGACTCTCTGCTCACATTCATTAAGGACCTTCATGATGGTGGGCAGGCGCGGGTAAAGATACGTGGCTGGGAGTCAGAGCCATTCCCTGTTCACCTTGGCATGCGACAGGGATGTCCTCTGTCGCCCACATTCATCTCTCTCTCCCCATCTCCCAATCTCTCTCCCCGTCTCTCTAGCTATGTCCTATGCACAGACCCGGACATGTCCACCTAGCCGTGGGTTGTGCCGGGCGACTCTGTCCGCCTGCTGATGTCCCACACACTTGTCTGCCGGGTTACGTCCGGGTTGTTCTCCTACCTGCCTCTCTCCCCGTGTCTTTCTCTCACCCTATCTCTCTCCCTTTCTTTCTCTCTCTCTCCCCTGGCCTCTCTAGCTCTGTGAGATGGAACAGATGGAGATTCATCTCTCTGTCTATCTGTCTCTGTCTCCCTGTCCCTCTCTCCCTGTCTCTTTTTCTCTCCCCCTCTCTTTCTCTCCCCATGTCTCTCCTTTTCTCTCTCTTTCTGTCCTCATCTCTCTATCCCTGTCTCTCCCCCTGTCCATCCCTTACTCCCTGTCTCTGTGTCTCTCTAGCTCTGTGCTGTGCACGGACCCGGACATGTCCACCCTACCTTGGGACGTGCCGGGCGACTCTGTCCGCCTGCTGGTGTCCCGTACGCTTGTCCGCCGGGTGCCATCCGAGTCGTTCTACTACCTGCCGGAGCTGCGCTCGCTCACGCTGTCATGCAACCGCCTGTCAAGCATCTCCCACGGCGCCTTCTTCAACCTCAAGCTGCTCCGGGAGCTTCGCCTGCCGGGTACGATGACATGGAAAGGCATGGAGATGAGACGAGATGAAGACGAGATGCAGAGACAAGATGGAGACACGGAGACGAGACGGAGACATGGAGAGATGGAGACACAGAGACGATACGGAGACGAGACACGGAGACGAGACACGGAGACGAGACATAGAGACGAGATGGAGTTGAGACATGGAGAGACGGAGACACAGAGACGAAACGGAGACAAGACACCGAGACGAGACGGAGTTGAGACGGTGTTGAGACACAGAGAGACGGAGACACGGAGACGAGATGGAGACGAGACACAGAGACGAGACACAGAGACGCGAGACGCAGAGACACCGAGACGAGATGGAGTTGAGACATGGAGAGACGGACACACGGGGACGATATGGAGATGAGACGGAGACAGGGGGATGAGATGGAGACGAGACGCAGATATGCGAGACACGGAGACACTGAGACATGGAGACGCGAAAACACGGAGATGCAGATACACGGAGACACAGAGACAAGACACGGAGACACGCAGACGTGGAGATGCGGAGACACGGAGATGTAGATACACGGAGACATGGAGACAAGACACGGAGACACGCAGACGTGGAGATGCAGAGACACGGAGATGTAGATACACGGAGACACGGAGACATGGAGACGCGAAGACACGGAGCGCTCGAGGAGAGAGACACATGTCACATACCCTGTCTCTCCCCGTGTCTCTCTCTCTCCGTGTCTCTCTCCCCGTGTCGCTCTCCTCGTGTATCTCTCTTCCCGTTTATCTCTCTCCCCGTGTCTTTTCTCCTTGTGTCTCTCGCTCCCCGTGTCTCTCTTTCGATCTCTCTCTGCCCGTGTCTCTCTCCGTGTCTCTCTCCCCCCGTTTGTCTCTCTCTTTCTAATGTCTCTCTCTATCTCTCTGTCTTTCTCCCCCCCCCCCCACCCCCATTTCTCTCTTTTTTACGATCAGAGGAAACAAGAAGATGATCGGTGTAGTCGGCACTTTGCTTCGTTCATCATTTCGTTTTTTTAATATTTTGCTTTATGTTAACCCCCTCCCCCCTTTTGAAATGAAAGATTTCACTCTTTTCCCCGTTACTCTCTCTCCCCGTGTCTCTCTCTCTCCCTGTGTCTCTCTCCCCGTCTCTCTCTCCCCGTGTCTTTCTCCCCCCATATGTATATCTTTCTCCCTGTCTCTCTCTCTCTCTCCCTGTCTCTGTCGATCTGTCTCCCCGTGTCTCTCCCCCCCTCGCCTCTCTCTCAGGGAATGTCCTCACGTCTTTCCCGTGGGAGAGTCTCCAGGAGACTCCGTCTCTGCGTCTCCTCGACCTCAACGGGAACCGAATCAGCTCCCTGCCTGCCGAGTCAGCTCGGTGACTGACATAATCACGGATTGATTATTGGGGAAAACAAACTAATTTATTTACAACTGCTGCTGCTTCTTGTTGTTGTGTTTAGTTTGTTGTTCGACGTACGGTGCGAAAGATGTTCAACATACATACATGCATTCACTACTATATACTACACCAGTATACACTACTATACACCACTACTATACACTACATTAGTATACGCTACACAACTCTACCCTACACTACTATGCCCTACACTACACCAATATACTACATTGAAAATGTATTTCTTTAGAATTGATTGTTGTGTGTACATTTTTGTCTTTCCCCCACACCTCCAATTAGCACGGTTGGCTGCGTACGGTGCGAAAGAAGTTCAACATACATACAATATATATACGAGGGAGAGACACGAGGAGGGAAGGAAAGAGAGAGACACATGGAAAGGGAGACAGACATGGTGGGAGAGAGCGACACAGGGGGAGGAAGAGACACAGGGAGAGAGAGACGTGGAGAGAGATACGGGGAGGCAGAGAGAGACATGGCGAGAGAAATAGACACACAGGGTGTGATGTTGATGTTGTTAATGATGATGTTGCTGATATTGATGTTGTTGATGATGTTGATGATGATTATGTTGCTGATATTGATGTTGTTGATGATGATGATGTTAATGATGATGTTGCAGGTTCGTGTCTGACCTCTCGACCTTTGACCTGTCTGGTAACCGCCTTGTGACGCTGCCCTCTGACCTCCTCGAGCTGTGGACATTGTCAGCGCCTACACAGGCACAGGGTAAGGGTCACACAGGGTCACATGGGGTCAGATATACACGGGGTCACGGGGTCAGAGATTCACAGGCTTACGAGGTCACACAGTCATGTGCGCAATGAGGGACAGGTCGCAGTGCCACCGGGTCAGAGAGTTACCGGATCATCGGAACACGGGGACTTGCCTTCACGAGGTCAGAGAGAGACACGGGCAGAGTGAGAAACAGGGAGAGAGTGAGACACACTAACCCCACCCTCTACCCCTGTGACCCCCGTAGTAGGCGAGGGGCTGGAGGGAGACGGGGACCCGGACCGAGGACCCGTGACCCCCATTTCTCGGACACCTGTGCGGCTCATCCTAGGTACGATGGCCGTGTCGGTGGGGCGGGGGGGGTCACGATGGCCATGTCAATGGGGTTCATAATGGCCATGTCAGTGGGTAAGTTACCGATGGCCATGTGGGTGGGTGAGTTCACGATGGCCATGTAGGTGGGTGAGTTCACGATGGCCATGTAGGTGGGTGAGTTCACAATGGCCATGTAGGTGGGTGAGTTCACGATGGCCGTGTGGGTGAGTGGGTTCACGATGGCCATGTGGGTGGGTGAGTTCACGATGGCCATGTGGGTGAGTGGGTTCACGATGGCCATGTGGGTGGGTGAGTTCACGATGGCCATGTGGGTGGGTGGGTTCACGATGGCCATGTGGGTGAGTGGGTTCACGATGGCCATGTGGGTGGGTGGGTTCACAATGGCCATGTGGGTGGGTGGGTTCACGATGGCCATGTGGGTGGGTGGGTTCACGATGGCCATGTGGGTGGGTGGGTTCATGATGGTCGTGTGGGTGGGTGGGTTCACAATGGCCATGTGGGTGGGTGGGTTCACGATGGCCGTGTGGGTGGGTGGGTTCACAATGGCCATGTGGGTGGGTGGGTTCACGATGGCCGTGTGGGTGGGTGGGTTCACAATGGCCATGTGGGTGGGTGGGTTCACGATGGCCGTGTGGGTGGGTGGGTTCACAATGGCCATGTGGGTGGGTGGGTTCACGATGGCCGTGTGGGTGGGTGGGTTCACGATGGCCGTGTGGGTGGGTGGGTTCACGATGGCCATGTGGGTGGGTGAGTTCACGATGGCCATGTGGGTGGGTGAGTTCACGATGGCCATGTAGGTGGGTGAGTTCACGATGGCCATGTAGGTGGGTGAGTTCACAATGGCCATGTGGGTGGGTGAGTTCACGATGGCCGTGTGGGTGGGTGGGTTCACGATGGCCGTGTGGGTGGGTGAGTTCACGATGGCCGTGTGGGTGGGTGAGTTCACGATGGCCGTGTGGGTGGGTGGGTTCACGATGGCCATGTGGGTGGGTGGGTTCACGATGGCCATGTGGGTGGGTGGGTTCACAATGGCCATATGGGTGGGTGGGTTCACGATGGCCATGTAGGTGGGTGGGTGAGTTCACAATGGCCGTGTGGGTGGGTGGGTTCACGACGGCCATGTAGGTGGGTGGGTTCACGACGGCCATGTGGGTGGGTGAGTTCACAATGGCCGTGTGGGTGGGTGAGTTCACGATGGCCGTGTGGGTGGGTGAGTTCACGATGGCCGTGTGGGTGGGTGAGTTCACAATGGCCATGTGGGTGGGTGAGTTCACGATGGCCATGTGGGTCGGTGAGTTCACAATGGCCATATGGGTGGGTGGGTTCACAATGGCCATATGGGTTGGTGAGTTCACAATGGCCGTGTGGGTCGGTGAGTTCACAATGGCCATGTGGGTGGGTGGGTTCACAATGGCCATGTGGGTGGGTGAGTTCACGATGGCCATATGGGTGGGTGGGTTCACAATGGCCGTGTGGGTTGGTGAGTTCACAATGGCCATGTGGGTGGGTGGGTTCACAATGGCCATGTGGGTGGGTGAGTTCACGATGGCCATGTGGGTGGGTGGGTTCACAATGGCCGTGTGGGTCGGTGAGTTCACAATGGCCATATGGGTGGGTGGGTTCACGATGGCCGTGTGGGTGAGTTCACGATGGCCATTTGGGTGAACACCCAGCGGCGACCGAAGATTAGGGTCTTAACCTGATCTCCTCCCCGTATCTCTATCCTTCTCTCTCACGCACCTGGGGGGGGGGGGGGGGGGGTCAGAAATTTGTGACGATGTGTGACGAGGGGGGGAGAGGGTTGAGAAATGTGACGTCACGTCAAAATGCGCAAATTTAAATAAATATAGACAACACGTTCTACTTAATTAAATAGACTTTTAATGTTTTCTCTTACAACATCAGAGTGCAGCGCCACATTAAATACGCACTACAATGACAATCGTTTAAAGCGATTTGAAGCATGTTTTTTTTGAGAGAGTGACGTCATATTTGAGGGGGGGGTCTGACTTTTTGTGACGCCGTGTGACGATGGGGGGGGGGGGGTCAAAAATCGTCCAAAATTGCGTAACTTCATTTATGGACGGCCCCTCTCTCCCCGTGTATCTCTCTCCCCGTGTCTCTCTCTCACTGTCTCTGTAACCTGGGTGGTTATGTACTTGTTAAATTGTGCATATTTTCGCACTTCAGTATTATTAGAACCTCTTTATTTTCTTTGAACATATTTTTTTATAAAGTGCTGAGGTGATGACCAGTGTGATGGAGAGACTTCACGTGAACACGATCACTGATCGATTCCATTCGGTGTGATCGATTCGGTGTGATTGAGTAGGCATGTTACGTCACCGATTTTAGAATCGGCTCGGCGTGGCTCAGGTGAGACGCTGAATGAGGGAGCTCCGTAAACATTTCACTTGTAACCGCAAAATTAACACTTGAATCTAAAGTAATTGATGAGGATAAAGTAATAATTTGTACTTCTAGATTTGAAGCTTTCGTGACTGCAAGGATTCATATTCTTGGGTTTTTTCGGTAAAGTCACGTAGGTAAAAATTTAAAATTAATACAGCTGTCGTGCTGTGACGGTTCCACCTGAAGATGGAAGCCTGTGTTGCCTCCGAAACGTCGTTATTTTTATTTTGTTTTTATTTTACTTTAATTAATTTTAATTTTAATTTTTTACCTATGTGACTTTACCGAAAAAACCTAAGAATAAGTACTAAGTGCGTACTACCTGGAAACCTTTACAATGAAGGTTTTGGAGATTAAATTTTGTTGTGAGAGTTTAAAAAAGTAAATATTAGTAAAGTACGAATAATTCTAAACCTGCAATTAATCCCATATGCGCAGGGATTGATCAGTGAGGTGTAGGGCGTGAAGTTGACAGCACATTTGGTCGTTTCAGGTATAAGATTACTTTCTTTTGAATAATGTGTTAACGGGCGCACGGGAAACCTGATGGGAGGGCGTTACTCGCATGAGGCATATTATATTATTTTTACGAGTAAATGTAGCATGTTTGAATGCGCAGGGGAGTCATCTATTGTAACAATCGATGGATGACTGGAATACTGGTGATGAAACAAAAATTGTTATTTTGTGATAAGTTGTGTTTTTCCCCTTTTTTCTGGCAACAAAACTGAAACCTTTTTTGAGCTGTACGCCTTTTGGCGTCCTCTGGTTGAGCACCAATTGGGTCGAGGCTCAAAAGAAAGCCGTCCCTTGGTGTGGACCAATCAGTTTCAAGGACAATGCTTATATTATCATAGTATGTTTTTTGTTTGCATTTTGACTGCAAGTATTGTGGTTAATGCAGACATGAATCCTTGTAAAGGGTTTCAGTTTTGTTGCCAGAAAAAATGGGAAAAACCCTATTATTGTGATAAGTTGCATTAATCTTCTTGGTTTTTTCGGTAAAGTCACGTAGAAGGGAAGAAATAAAATAATAAAAATAAAATATTATATTATTTTATTATGTTTTATTTTTATTATTTTATTACTTCCCTTCTACGTGACTTTACCGAAAAAACCAAGATGAATCCCTGCAGTCACGAAAGCTTTAAGTCGAAATTTAAGTTGCATTAAGTTTGTATCTTTCAATTATATTATTAAGTGGTCAAGCGGAGGGCTCAAAATGGACACTCGGCGGCTTCCGAGTTAAAACGTACAGATTCGCATGTAGTTGTGGATTTTAGAATCCGCTCGGCGTGGCGCAGGGATTTGATCAGTGAGGCGCGGGTGGCGTGAAGTTGACAGCACATTTGGTCGTTTCAGATGGTCCGACATGCTCGTGTGCTGGAGAGGTTGGTTCAATAAACCCACCGTGTGTGAGCGGAGTCTCCTCCCGTGTTGCACACTCGAAATGAAGGACCTGGACCGGTGCTCCAAATCGAGTGCAAACATATTTATTGTCTCGATTTAAAGCTTTCGTGACTGCAGGGATTCATCTTCTTGGTTTTTTCGGTAAAGTCACGTAGAATGGAAATAATAAAACAATAAAAAAGAATTATATTATATTATTTTAATATGTTTTATTTTTATTGTTTTATTATTTCCATTCTACGTGACTTTACCGAAAGAACCAAGAAGATATTTATTGTCGTAAATCTGTAAAAAATATGTAAAACGTGTCACACACACTTTCGTCATCTGGCCACATGGCCTCCCAGCACTGAACCACTTCTTGGACCACATCAATTCTAGACACCCATCCATCAGATTCACCATGGAAGTGGAGAAAGACGGTAAACTACCATTCTTGGATATTCTGTTTGAGAGGAGGCCTGACGGATCCTTGGGACATTCTGTTTACAGGAAAGCCACCCACACAGATTCCTACTTGAAACCGGATTCCCACCACCACCCATCTCAAAAGAATTCTCTCATCAAAACGCTATACCACAGAGCCCATGGCATTTCTGACCAACACCACCTGACCGGTGAATTAAGACATGTACATCGGACCCTCAGGATGAACGGATACTCTGACCGTACTATCCGCCAAGCTGTCTCTCCCACCACACAGGAACAGCCACATGAAACTCCGACCAAAACTATCACGTTACCATACATAGCAGGCGTGACCAAAAAGATCTCCAAAATTCTAAACAAACATAAGATCCAAGTCCGATTCAGTACAGTGCATAAAATCCGTGATCTGATTCCATCTGTGAAGGATGTCGTTCCTGACTTACAGTATCCTGGAGTCTACAAATTGAGTTGCATTTGTGGTGATTGCTACATTGGAGAAACGAAACGTCATGTTGCTGATCGTGTCCGCGAGCACAAGTCAGATCTGAAACACGGCAGAACTGATTCTTCGGCCGTTGCCGATCATTGCTACAACTCAGTGGGCTCTCATGAAATTGTCTTTTCCTAGACCAAGGTTCTCTGCAAACCTCCTGGCTCCCATCAAAGGTTTGTACACGAAGCCATACAAATATACAAACACAGACATAATTTCAACCGTGATGATGGGTACAAACTTAGTAATCATTGGAAAGATGTTATTAACCACGCAAAAAAGACTTAATTACACTTTTTTGACCATCTTATCTGACAGGCACTAGTTTACTTTACTTTACCGAGTGTTAACATCCCCAGTGTTTAACAGTAATCTCTTCATTGTTCAGCCAGCATTGGTATAAACATACGCATTTTCTTTTCTTTTCTATCATGTGTATCAGACCTCCCCCTCCCCCCCTCTCTGTCCAATGCGTTGGCGTGGGCAGCAGTGTGTCGCTTGCGCACAATAGCTTCCACGCCGTCGCCCACCCTTTTTTGGCCCCTCTCTCCCGATACTTTCCATTCATTGGCTACCACATTCTGATGAGCCCCCCCCCTCTCCTCCCCCCTCAACTCGCTTTTAAGGGATTACATCTTGAATCATTGCCTCACTTGATGCAGCTAATCCGGCTGTGACTGTCCCACCTGATGACGGAGACTTGTGTTGCCTCCGAAACGTCGTGATCTTTATTTTATTTTATTATTTTATTAATTTTGATGTTTTACCTACGTGACTTTACCGAAAACACCTAAGAATATGTGTCACACACAGCAAACCTCAACCGAGTTTCCATTTTCTCTTAAACCCAATTCTACTATTGAAAAACCATCTTTGTCTTTGACAGTAACCTTTGCACTTCACTATTCGAATATAACTTTAATCCTAAGCTGTATGTCTATCGATACCATCGACTTATATCGGTATCTTACACCATTATCTGTACTGTATGTGTACAGTGTAGTACTGTACTTCACACCATTTTACAACTTATTCCTATACATGTGTTCTATTCTCAAAAGCATTGCAAGTAGTCATACTCTGGGTGCATGGGCATGGTTATAGAATAAACAGTGTTAGGGTTAGATAATTACAAGTATTAACGAGAGAACGTCATCCTTTACAGTGCACAGTGCTAAACCCCCTCCTAGTGAATATATCACAAACTAACAATTCAAATTCTAGATTTGAAGCTTTCGTGACTGCAAGGATTCATACTCTTAGTTCTTTAGCCCCCCCCCTTCCAATACGTTATCAGTGCACCAACAGGGACATGCGCACAAACACGTCCACATCGACACCTACGAGCACCTCGTGCTCTCTTTTAGCCCCGCCCCCCTCCCGATACGTTACATTCATTGGCTACCACATTCTGATAAGCTCCTCCCCCCCTCTCCTCCCCCTCAACTTGTATTTAAGAGCTTGCATCTTGAATCCCTGCCTCACTTGATGCAGCAAATCTGGCTGTGACGGTCCCACCTGATGACGGAGACTTGTATTGCCTCCGAAACGTCGTGATTTTATTATTTTATTTGTATTAAGTTTAATTTCATTTTTTACCTACGTGGCTTTACCGAAAGAACTAAGAGTATAACAATTCAAAGCCAAGCTTGAAGTCTAGAACAAGTCTAGAACATTTCTATAATGATCAAAAACAACCTTTGGGTGCTTTACCTGTAAAATGCAACAGCACGTGTGTCACACACAGCAATCCTCAACCGAGTCGCCATTAACCACGTGACTGGTGTACAAGTCCGGTTAATCAAGAACCCTGCCAGCCACCCACAGGCCCAACTCAGTTATCGCAAGCTGGTGTACACACGTGCATTGATGTACTGCACATCACATAATGACTTTCACAAAACCACACTTTACTCCCTTGCTGCACGAGGAAATAATTAAAAGAGTGGTCTATTCCTACACTCTCCCCCACAGAATGAGTGTCGTCTCGACACTCCATTTTTCCCCTTGCAAACCTTTTGCAGTCTTTTTCCTTAAACTGGTCATGAAAGGAGTTTATTAAATCGTGATAACAATTTCTCTAGGGATGATATCCCTTCCAAGATAGAGCCACTCCATAAGCGCTCTATTTTGGGTGTGCTCCAACTCTTTGTGCACGGAGAGACAGGAGCCCAAACATTGTATTATGCTTTTGGAATTACCAGACACTCTGGTATTATTAAACCATGCTTCACATTTTACTGACCAGAAATGGTTAGGATTATTTTCCCAATACCTGTCAAGATTAAATCCTTTGCAGGTTGTTAAGGCCCTGTGGAATTTAGCTCTTAGGTATTTACTTATCGGCCTACCAACATACTGGAAAACTTTTCCACACCATTTTTTTCATCTTAAGCAATAACCCATTCTTAACATTTTAAACACAACACTTAAAAAAAAACATCTTAAACAACTTAACAACCATATGACCACAGCTTATAGTTTGTCTTGATCACCCATTTTGTAGTCAAAAGTCACTTATTTCACCATGGTCTCCAGTAGCAACCACCAGCTATCCCTTGTGCTATCGGGCTCCTTCTCACGATGGTAGGTTCGCCCAAATTGTCCTAAGTGAGTGTCTTTGGCTGTCTCCTCTCCTCTCTTTTTGAGGGTGGCGTCTCCTGTTGTGATGACTACTCTCATCCTCTTCATTACTCTGTTCCAAGTCCTTTGCAGATTCACTTGCTGGACTCAACTGCTCCCCCAATTATTTATATCCAAAACGGTCTCAGTGTATTCTGATCCCTTATGTGAAGCTTTGCCCATTCTTTTAATAATGCCCCCACGTCTCGGTTTTCTGTCTGGCTTGCTTTTACTGTGGGCCTTTGATTTTTGCCTTTGTACTCCAATACTTTGTCAATTACTGGGTCTCTTTGCTTGGCTTATCTGAGTTTACCCCTTGGGATCAGTTGCACCGAGAAAGCTAGTGAGTCACAATCCTCCTGTATTTAAATAGCATGGAGTGTTATCAATCTGGACCAGGCTGCTGATTCCTCATGCTGAATGGTGACTCCCTGCATTGTGGCACTAATCACATCTGGGCTGACTTTTTCAGTGCACTGAGCTATGAATCCATCAATGCCCAGTGGCATCCTTGATCCCTGCCTGTCACGTGGGAGACCGGAGTTCAATTCCCCGACGGGGAGCCAAGTGTGGCACATTAGGAATGGACCACTATTTTAATTATTTCCTTGTGCAGCAAGGGAGGATTAAAGTGTGGTTTTGTGAAAGTCTTTTATCTGGCAACAAAACTGACACCTTTTTTTACAAGGAGTCATGTTTGCATAGACCACATCTGGTCCAACCCATTTGAGACTAGGCTCTAAGGAAAGCTGTCTCGGGTGTGGACCAATCAACTTCAAGGACAGTGCATGCATTATCAGAGTTATGTTTTTTGTTTGCATTATGACTGCAGGTATTGTGGTCTATGCAAATATGACTCCTTGTAAAAAAAGGTGTCAGTTTTGTTGCCAGATAACAGGGTAAAAAAACAATTATCATATTTTTTTACTGGCAAATGAGGTTCCAATGGTGTTTGTGAAAGTCCTTATGTGCTGTGCAGTACACAAAAGCACGTGCGTCACACAGCAAACCTCCACGAGTCGCCATTAACCACGTGACTGGTGTACAAGTCCGGTTAATCAATAACCCTGCCAGCCATCCACAGGCCCAACTCAGTTATCGCATGCTGGTGTGCACACGTGCATTGATGTACTGCACAGCACATAAGGACTCTGGATTCCTTGTGTCCAAGCGTGAGAGCAAGAAGATCACGCCGGAGAACCATCGGTTGTTATATTGTTCATTATTGTGTGCCCAAGAGGACGATCACTGCCAGGAAGAACCGAGGCACAGTGGGTGCGGATCACATCTCTCTGTCCCCGTTTCTCTTTCTCCTCGTCTCTCTCCCCGTGTATCTCCATCTGTCTCTCTCTCCTACAGCCCTGCAGGAGAACCCGTGGCTCTGTGACTGCTCCCTCTCCCGCCTTCTCCTCCTGGCTCGGAGCGCTATTGGGGGCACCGGAGGTCAGGGTCAAGGTCAGGGTCAAGCGTGCCCGGCTCCCCCTAGGGTCATCCTGATGGACCCTGACACGGCCTGCGGGGGCCCCGGGGACCTCGCGGGAGTTCCCATGAGACTGGCCGGCATCGCGGTAGGAACCCCCAGCCCCACTGTGACCTTGAGCCAGCTGCTTGCTGATGAGACACTGAATGCGCAAAGTCGGTGGCGGTGTTTGTGCGCCGGATCCAGGCATACGTCTCTCATCAACCGCCTCACGCCTCTCCCTTTCTCTTCTCTCAATCTCCCCCCTCTCTCCTCCTCCACCTTCCCCTCCTCTCCATCCCTCCCCTCTTCCTCCAACCCCTCCCCATCTCCTCCCCCTCCTCTTTCCACTCGCCCCCTTTCCCTTCTCCCTCTCCATCCTCCTCCTGCTCCTCCTCCTCCTGTTTGTCCCTAAATCCCCCCCCCCCGTCCCTAAATCTCGCCCCCCGCCTCCTTCTCTTCCACCTCTCCCCCCACCCTCCTCTGCTTTTAAAATCCTTTATATTAAGTTCACTTGCTTGCTTGCTTACGACCGTGCAAATCTTTCGGTCGTTTTTTAACCCACTTCCCGTGATCCAATCGAGCTGACATTTTCCACACAGACTCGTTGTGCGTAACAATTAATGTTCGTGATAATTTTTTTTCCAAAATGTTACACTTTTTAGGACAAAAATATTATATTTAATTACCAATTGCTTAATGGTGCAATGCAATCATCTGACCCATAGGTGACAGCCATCTAAAGCCAGAGGACGAGAGGACTCTAGCCGCCACGCATATAAAGGATTTATAGTGAAAAACTTTGTTTTTACGGGTTTACTTGTTTCACTCTCCCAATGCCCCTGCCCCGTAATCTCCCTCCCCCCCTAGACCCCGTCTCCCCCTGGCGGGTGCCGCCCCCCTCGTGTGCAGGTCTCTGCCTCGCGCCTCACCTCTGCGCTGGGCTCCAGCCTCCTGCTGCGCTGTGACGCCAGTGGAACTCCAACGCCTACGCTGGAGTGGGCGCGGGGTGACGGGCGGTCACTCAACGCTACCGGTACACCCACTACTACTACTCACTAGCACAGCGGTCGGGAACCTATGGCTCACGAGCCATATATGGCTCTTCCAGTGACGGCATATGGCTCCCAGACAATTTTGAGTTGAAAAAATAATAATAAAAAAATCAGTTTGGAACTGATTTTAAAATACTTGTGATATTGCTTAATAATACTGTGTCATTTTAAAGTAAACAGAAATTAGTTTTGAAGATAAATTTCACGGGTCACGCCTGCATGAAGCTCAACCTCACCACGTATGAACCAGACTACAAGGCCATCAGCAAAACCATGCAGCACCAGAAGTCGCATTAAAAGTAAGACGTATTTAATTTATTATACGTTAAAAATACTATATGGCTCTCAATGAAATATATTTAGAAATATTTGGCTTGTATGGCTCTCCCAGTCAAAAAGGTTCCCGACCCCTGCACTATCACTACTACTCGCGACCACTATCACTACTACTACTGCCACTCACTACTAGTGGAGTGCCAATGCCGATGCTGCAGTGGGCACGTAGTGACCAGTACTCTACTACACACCATTTACTACTGCTTACTATCACTGCTCACTACCAGTGGAGTGCCAATGCCGATGCTGCAGTGGGCACGTAGTGACCAGTACTCTACTACACACCACTTACGACTGCTTACTATCACTGCTCACTACACCACTTACTAGCAATACTCATTACCACTCACCATCACTCACTATCACCACTCACAATCAGTACTACTACTACTGCCACTCACTACCAGTGGAGTGCCAATGCCGATGCTGCAGTGAGCACGTAGTGACCAGTACCCTACTACACACCACTTACTAATGCTTACTATCACTGCTCACTACACCACTTACTAGCAATACTCATTGCCACTCACTATCACTATCACCACTCACTACCACTCACTGCACCACTCGCTATCACTACTACTCACTTTCACTATCACCACTCGCTGTCACTCACTACTCACGACCAGTAATCACTGCCAGCGGAGCGCCAACACCACTACAATATATTATACACTACGCTATACATTACACTATACACTACACAAGACTCTACACTATGCACTACATTACATTATACACTAGGCAATACACTATGCTATAAACAATATAATATATACGCTATACATTACATTTTACACTACGCTATACACTACAATATATTATACACTACGCTATATACTACAATACATTATACACTACGCTGTACACTACAATACACTACACTATGCACTACAATACACTATACACTACGTTACACACTATGCTATACACCGCTGGTTGGTTCTCTCTGTAACCCATCTCTCTCGCTCACTGTATATCTCTCTAACCCTTCCCTCACTGTCTCTTTCTCTCTAACCCACCTCTCGCTGTCTCGGACGGTGCCATCGGCCGTGTGGCTCAGCCGAATCTCCCGAGGGGCACCAGACTCTGTGCGTGCGTTCTGCGGTGCCAGGGAAGGTCTAGCCCAGCCAGTACTTGCGCGCGGCTCAACCCCAATGTTCCGTCTTTTGGGGTCCATTTTTGAGGAGGCTGAAGGTGCATTTTTACAAGAGCAGTTTCATATACGTGGGGTTGGGAGTGCCTTACCTGGCTAATAAGCACCACGATGTTGCAAACTTCATCTGTTTCCCAAGCCAAAGATGGCGGTTTACAAGACCAGGAAAAAAGATGCCGCGAGGCGACACTGACGGCTGCTCTGTGGTGCCGATATTTCAGTGGCCTGGGCAAGGGGCGGCTTCGACTGGAGCACGCTGCGCCACTCCAATGCCGGCGACGTGCGTTGGTGCAAAAAAAGAAGAGGAAGAGCTCTTCCCTACCGAAATGATCGCCCGCAGCCACTGCCAACACCTACTGCCATGGCTTCGGGTGTCAAGATAGCCAGTCTGAACTGCAACAGTGCTCGCAGCGACAAAAGGTGGCACTGGGTCTGTCGCTTTCTCGACGAGCAGAGGGCAGACGTAACTTTCCTGTTGGGCTCACTGGGTGTCCAACAAAAGCAGCTTCAGCTCTAGCCAGCAATGGTGGTAAAACAAAAAGGCACAGGTCAGGGGCTCTCTGAGCCAGCACGCCACCACCAAGAAGGAGGTGGTACAGCACCTACAGAGCGAGCTTGCCTCTGCTCGGGGTGGAGCTGAGCTCATCCCAGAACACAAACTTGTCATACATGACCTCTCCTTCCAAATATTTCTTTCGATTACAAAACAAACCTGTGCACAACAACATTTTAAGCTTACAAACCCCAAAGGGAGAAACAGCCGCAGCTGAGGGGAACATCGCTAAGATTGCGAGAGAATTATATTTTTTTATTCACTACCGAAGGCATACATGACGAGGCTGTCCAGGAACTGCTAGACGAGGCCCTAACCAAGGGGACCCTGAGAGTGAGCGTCTGGAAAGCCTTGTCACCCCCAAGGAGCTCCACGCCACTATGAAAGGACTCGCAGGACGTCACCGCATTCTGCCGGGCAGTGACAGTCTACGAGAAGGCTTCTAGTGCCAAGGTTAACTGGCCGAAGTGTGAGGCTCTCTGTGTTTAGGGTCACAGTGTGCCGTGCATTATGTGCTCTTCCCAGGAGGAGTCAATTGGCAGGCCAAAGGGATCAAATACCTAGGAATTTAACAGGGGAAACCACGTCTCCCAAAATAATTGGACCGAATTGGTAAACACAATTGAGGCTAAATTGCTGTCTTGGGCATGCCTCGCTCCACTGATATCCTTAAGCGGGCGAGTGCTCATACCGAATAAGCTGGCAGCTTCTGTGCTGTGGCATAAGGCCAAAGCCCTCCAGCCCCCGGACTGGCTATTCACGAGAGCAAACCGGTCACTCACCCACTTTGTGTGGGCAAGGGCGGACAGGGCCTGGTGGATGTCTCTGCCAGAGTGATGAGCTTCAGACTGTGAGGTGGCTGCTCTATGAACGGGAGGAGCTACCCTGGAAGTCCCCGGCCCTCAGCCTGCTGAGAGACGCGGGGAGCGGGGGGGTGCCTGGGGTACGGGAGGGAGCTCTTCCTGTTGGACGTGGCCCTGGTCGACTACACGAGGCTGCAAGGGTATTACCAGAGCCTTTTTAATTAATGGCGGAGCCTTGAATGGAGCAGGGCGTGTCCGCACTGTGCCCTCCGACATTTCCTGCACAAACACTTGTTTTGCAATTGCCTCTTCAAAGGAATCAGAGGGGAGAGAACTCTAGCCCTCCGTTTCACCTCGCCAGGGGTGCGGATGGTCAGCGACCTCGGGAAGAGCCACAACCACCATTGCAAGTGGAAGACCATGGCCGAGATCAGTAGCACTGCGGGGCTCCGCTCCATGCTCGCTGGAGAGAAGCTGTTGCGGGAAGTGCTTGCAGCAATGTGGGAGCTGAGGCTTAAGCTGGAGGCGCTCGGAGTTGTACTTTTCCAGCACCTAGCCTCCCGGGCGCTGTGACTCAGGAAAGCTGCTCAAGCTTGAAGACTGCAAGGACGTGGCCCTCAAGAGCGCCCCAAAGAAAGCGCTCTATATGTGCTGTGTCAAGACACTACATTTTCAAGAACCTGGCCATCCTACCAGACATGAAATGGAGAGGCAATTTCTCTCCCCTGATCGAGGCCGCCCCCCAGTGAAAGAACCTGTACAAGCCCCATAGCCAAATGCTGCGGGGACCTCCAGTAGAGGTTGGCACACTGGGACGCTGCCTTCGGCAGTGTGGCTCAGCAGAATAGGCCCAGGGTCATTAGATTTTTGTGCGTTCTGTGGTGCGAAGGAGGATCTGGCCCACCAGTACTTGGGGTATCCACGGTTCAACCCAATGTTCTGGAGTTTGGGATCCATCTTTAGAAAGCTAGAGGTGCCTTTTAACAAGAGCTGGTTCACATATGGGGTGCCTTACCTGGCAAATAAGCGCCACAATATCGTAAACTTCGTCTGCACCCAAGCAAAGATGGCAGTTTACAAGACCTGACAAAAAAAAACTGCGAGGTGACACGGACGATGGCTGCTCGTTGGTGGAGATGTTGAGGGGTCTGCTCAAGGCACGGCTCAGGCTAGAGCGCACGTACCATTCCTATGCCGGGAAGCGCGTGTATTCCTTGTATGGTGGGGGCCTGGTCAAGCCCTCTGAACCAACACAAACGGTTCACTGATTTTTACGTTTTAACTAGTTAACTTTCGCAGGCTACGTGCGTGATGATGCAGTGCTTGCATTGCACGTGGCGGTGTGGCGCATGTGCCGCGGGTTGCAATTGTGATGTGCTGTACTCGATGTTGGTGATCCCGTATCGAAAGCGGCTCCAGAGCTATTGCTGCTGGCAGCAAGAAAAGTGGTTTAAAAGTCCAAAGTCTCTCTCTCTCTCTCTGAACCATCTCTCTCTCTAAACCAACTCTCTCACTCTGGCTCTCTCAGTGATCCAGGAGTCTCCGGATAGCGGCTCCCGCTGGTCTGTGCTCTCTCTGCCCGTGGTCTCCTACGGCGATGCGGGCGTCTACCTGTGCCGTGCGCGCAACATGGCCGGGACGGAAGACGCCATGATCTCACTCCGCGTGGTCGGAGTCCTCACCACCACTGCCTCACCTCCTCCACCTCCTCCTCCTCCTCGCAGCTATGGTGGGGGGAGGTGTGGTAGTGGGGATGGGTGGTAGTGGATGGTATTGGGAAGCGGTGGTAGTGGATGGTAGTGGGGAGGGGTAGTAGTTGGGAGGGTGGGTAGTGGTAGTGGGGAGGGTGGGTAATGGTAGTGAGGAGGGGTGGTAGTGGATGGTAGTGGGGAGGGGTGGGTGTGGGGAGTGGGGAGGGGTGGTAGTGGCGAGGTAATGGGCGGTAGTTAGGAGGGGTGGTAGTGAATGGTAGTGGGGAGGGGTGGTATTGGGTGGTAGTGGGGAGGGGTGGTAGTGGGGAGGGGTGGTAGTGGAACGGGGTGGTAGTGGAGAGGGGTGGCAGTGGGGAAGGGTGGTAGTGGGTGGTAGTGGGGAGGGGTGGTAGTGGGTAGTGGGGAGGAGTGGTAGTGTGGAGGGGTGGTAGTGAGGAGGGGTGGTAGGTGTCGGTGAGTGGATGAGTCAGTGGGTGAGTAGCTAGGTGAGTGGATGAGTAGGTGGGTGAGTAGCTAGGTGAGTGGATGAGTAGGTGGGTGAGTGACTAGTTGAGTAGATGAGTCAGTGAGTGAGTTGCTGGGTGATTGGCTAGGTGAGTAGATGAGTCAGTGCATGCGTGGCTAGGTGAGTGAAATAAGTCGGTGATTAATTGGGTGAGAAGGGACCCCCAAAAGGAAGGGGATAGCTCAGCTAGTGGGGTCTCCCTTTTCCAGGACGTGGTCCCTCTTCGGAGGCCGCTAGATCCCCAGTATCCCAGACTCCCTGACTGAACCCCCCAACTGCATCCCCTCCACAGACACGGGGACCGTTGGGATGTCAGAGGGAGCTGGGTCCAGAGAAGGGACTCGTGGGGATGCCTCTCGGGGTGAGGGAAGCCCCGGGCGGTTCAGCCGGCCACCGCTGCTGCGTCTGCTCAGGGAGTCCGAGGGGATGGACGCCGGGGGGGTGCCCAGGGGGGACCCCTTCAGCGTGCTCCTGGACTGGGCGACCGACGGGGACGAGCGGGGAGTAGGGGGCAGGGCAGATGTGGGGGGCGTGGGGAGACGGAGAGAGGAGGCAAGTGGCTTCTCCACACTCACTCCCCTCCACGCTCTCTCCTCCCTCTCTCCTCTCATCTCACTGAACTTCCCTTCTAACTCTCTACTCTCATCTGACTCTACTCCCCTCTCTCTCTCTCTCGCCTCTCACTCCACTCCACACACTCTCCTACCTTCTCATCTCACTCTACTCTCTTCACACTCTCCCCTTTCATCTCACTCTACTCCCCTCCACATGCTTCAGTGCCTCCTCTGCTCTACCACCATCACCATCACCACCATTATCATCACCACCACCAACAACATCCGCCGTTTGCCGTGACGTCACCACTCACAGGGGGTGACTACTTCTTCCAATATTTGAGGCACGGCAGCCCCAGCAGGGTTATTCCCATCTTGCCTGATGATGTTATTTTGGTTGAGGGATTTATCCTCCTCCCAAGAACTCATGGAAATGCTCCTGGGGGTTGGAGATCGTATTGCCATTCTTTCCCTTAAGGATGGTGAAAGGTGAGGAGATCCAAGCTACTTTAGATGGAATAAAATCGTGATTTGTGATTGCGGGCTACTGAGACAGATTCAATCTCCTCAGCAACCCGTGCCCACTACTCATCCTTCCAGTTCCGCACGGCTCTCCGAATCTCTGAGCAAATGCTTGGGTAAGCCTCCTCATTCTCCTATGTTGGATTTGTAGACGACCCACCAGAAAATCTGCTCCCTCAACCAGGGTCTATGGGGAGGTCTTGATCGCATACCCAAATGCAGCCATTACAGCTGCACGATCCACAGTCCTGAACCTCACTCATTTCCACTCGGCATCAAAAGGGGGGGTGGACGATGCCAACCCCAGCCGCAAGCAATGTTGAAATTCCTGCTTGCAACTATCCTCAGCTAGCTGAGAGGAGGCCACTGTGGGTTTGATTGGGGTCCTAGAGGGACACCCACCACCGGAGTGAAATAATGGCAGGCGCATCTTACAGATGACAAGGCAATGGTCAGTGGGCAGCAGATCAGCTACACGGTAGGTCCTGTTTTCAAATACATGGGCCTGCATCCGCTGTTCCGCCACTATATAGTCGAGTAGATGTTCTTGCTTGGACCCGGAATGTATCCATGATGTTGTGTAGATGTGTCGATGCTGGAATAGCATCTTGATCATTACAAGCCCATGCACTGCACAGAAGTCTAGCTGATCTGGCCATGTCTTCCAATCATTTCAGCCCAGGTGCCTGCGTCATGACCTACTCAGACATTAAAGTCACCTAACAGGATGACTCGATCCCGAGGGGCCACATTAACTAGCACCTGTGACAGGAGGTTATAGGTGTCTGACTCATCGGCCTTATATGCTCCCATGCACTGATGTTGATCTTCAGTGGGAACATAAGCAACCACCACCATTCCTCACCTCTTTTTGATGGGGAGGTGAGCCCACAGTAGCCCGGGGCTTACAGCTTCCCACACCTCACCACCACGCTCCCACGTCCCCTTCATTATTTTGTTCAGAAGAAGAGTCACTTCCTGTTGTGTGGCAGTTGCCTTCCCCGAGTAGAGGACTGTCCACGCCTCATGGTGGCTGGAGCCAGAGCCAGTCCACCGGACCTCCTGAATGCCTCAGAGATCCAGGCGACAGAGGATTGGCAGCCTCCCCTCCACAGTGAACATTCGGAGTTGCTTTTTCCGTTTCTGGAGGAACCCCGGGGGTGCGGGTTCAGTCTCCTGGCTGCGCTTAATGGGGTTTGGCCAGGAGACCTCACAAACGCCTGTCCCCCTGGTGCCTTTAGTACAAGCTTGGTTAGATATGTTAGACATAGTTTAGTGGTACTTAGGTTGAAGGTGGAGGGGTTAATAGCCCCTTGCACCCATCCAGAGCCCCCATTGGCCGCTGTGGTGGCTACGAGCACCATGAGGCGAAAAGCAGATTGGAAATGGCCGTTCCTCCCATGGCATTACTCGCATCCACCACAGCGTTACTGTGCAGCACTACCGAGGAGGTAGGGGGTTCTATTTTCCGGACACCACCACCACCTCTACCACCTCCACCACTATCACCATCACCATCACGACCACCTCGATCACTAACTCCACCATCACCATCACTACCTCTACCACCACCATCACTACCTCCACCACCCTCACTACCACTACCATCACTACCACCACCTCCACCACCTCCTGCACCACCACCTCCATGACTACCTCCCTCACCATACCACCATCCCTACCTCCACCATCTCTACCACTACCACCAACTCCATGACCCCCCCCTGCCCCGCTCTGCTGTCACCACGCAGGAAGTGAACGTCGGCGACTTCCTGACGGCGGGCTCCCGCCAAGCCGCTCCATCGGCCCGCTCCTGGTCCAACCGCCTTGGTTGGGCAGTGTCGCTGAGCTGGGGCGACTCGGCACCCCGGGATGTCGCCTGGCTCCCCGGCCCTTCCTCCTCTGGCGGTGACCCTGAGGAGGTTTCCCGCCTGCTCCTCCGAGGCCTGGCCCCGGGCGAGGCCTACGAGGCCTGCGTCAGGCCCTGGAGCCCCCCGGGTGGGGAGAACGAGGGGACCGAGAGGGTGCGTGGAGGAGATTCTTCGTGCGTCGCCTTTCTGGCAGGAGAGGAGACGGGGATCATCGGTGGCAACAAGGGGATCAATAGCACGGGGATTGGTAGCAAGGAGATCAGTAGCATGGGGATTGGTAGCAAGGGGAATGGTACCAAGGGTGTAAGACCGGGAGTTGGGGATGGAGAGAAGGAAGGAGGAAGGACTGGAATGGAGCGGGACGAGCGAGGAGAGAGGAGTCCGGAGGAAACGGTGGGAAATCGCGGGGAGGCAGATGCAAGTCGGGGGCAGGAGGAGGTGCCCGGTGGTGGCGGTGGTCGTGGTGGTAGCACTGTTGGTAGCGGTGGTGGTATCAGCACTCCTCCCAATAACAATAGTGACAACAACGAAGAAGAATTAAACGATGGGAAGCCAGCGATGACGGAGGGGAGGAGCCAGGGTGGAGGCGGCGGTGGCGACGATCAACGGAGGCCACCCAAAGGAGACCCCGGACAGCAGCAGCCGGAGGGCCCCAGTGGTGGTGACGATAACCTCCCTGAGGAGGGCCCTCGCGGCGGTGGTGGCGACGAGTCGGCGTGGGCCACGTTGGCCGCGTGCGCCACCCTCCTGGTCGCCGCCGCCCTCCTGGCGGCCGCGGCCGTGGCCTGTGCTCGCCTCAACCGCCGCTCCTCCTCCTTCCTCTTCTTCTCCTCCTCTTCCTCCTCCTCGTCATTGTCCTCCTCCTCCTCACGCCAAGGAGGAGGTGGTGGAGTAGGTGGAGGAGCTGGAGGAGCCGGAGGAGGCCGTCCCTCGTCATTCCGGCTGTGCTGGGAGCGCGGTGGCCCGTCGGCGTCCTGTGGCCGCCAGGAGGAGCTTACCAAGGAGTCGTACGTGCGCTTTGAGTCCCTGCGGCCTGCCAGACGGGAGCACAGGGCCGTCGGGGGTGGGCGGCGGGGGGGGAGGAGGGATGGGAGGGAAGGCAGCGGAGGGGCGGGGGAGAGGAGCCGGCTGCTGAGCACCTGCACGAGCGTCACCTCGGGGCTCAGCGCGAGGAGTGACAGTTCCAACCTCGAGTACCTGTGCTGAGATGTGGTTGGGGAAGGTGGGGGATGGGGGAGGGGGTGGGGGAGGAGAATGGAAGTAGGAAGAGGAGATGGAGGGAGGAGGGGGAGCAGGAGGATGGAATGGCGGCTCCAACCTCAAGTAACTGTGCTGAGATGGTGGGGGGAGGGGAGGGGAGCCACTTTCTGGCTAATTTATTTTTATTTTACCAGGTAGTAAGGCCCACACTCGGCTACATAGCTTTATGAGTGTGCACCCCAGGGCACTGGGGGTGTATCGAGTCACACCCAAACTAAACTTAACTTTGTATTTTACCAGGCTATGTAGCTCTTGTTCAGAAGCGACTTAGCCATCATAAATGATAGCTCAACAAAGTGGCTTATCGTCATCATGGTGTGGAAATTCTAAACGCGTGATGTTGATTATAAACGTCGAAGGAAGTGTAATGCGAGCGTAAGCGGGGTTCGCGGATAGCCTTTGGGCCAATCATACGGCCCAGGGTATTGGGGGGCGGAGCCAGTATGGGGGTGTATGTGAAGGTCCCCGCTCACCTCGGGTCCAATCGGAAGCGAGGTGAGTGGGGGCGGAACCTAGGGGCGGAGCCAGCAGGGCACGATGGGGAGGCCAGATCTGGAAGGTTCGGAAGGGCGTGGTGTGAGGGAGGAGACAGGGTCACGTGGTGAAGGGGATATAGGTGGGAGCCCGGAAGGGCTCCGGGTCAGTTGTTGGAGTGAAGAAGCGGGACCACGTTGGGTGGCCGGAGGGGATCCGCGCCATCAGCCACGTGGCTGCAGGAGCTTCGGCACACCGTCGGCCAGCGGTGTGCGGAGCGGGCGGGAGCGCGAAAGACTGACGGAAGAACACGTGCAGAGCGCGTCGCGAGGAGCAGCTGGTCTGGTGTCGGGACCAGCGGGGTGCGGGTGTTGACCCGAATAAAGAGTGACGGAGACCAAGCAGTGCGTGGCGAAGTCCTTAATTACAGAAGTACCGAAGGACCCGGAGAAAAATCCCTGTGACCATGGGGCGAACATACAAACTCCAAATATACAGTAGGCGTCAGGATGGGGATCGAACCCATGACATTCTGCACACCTGGCGATGTAGTTGCCTTGGCTGCCTCTCTCTGATGTCTGACGTTTTTCTCTACGTCGTGGGAACTCTGTCAGAAAATTACATTTTCAGCCATTGCGATCCCACCAGCCGACATGGCCATCGTGAACCCACCCACCGACACGGCCATTGTGAACCCCACCCAGTGACACGGCCATCGTGAACCCACCCACCAACACGGCCATCGTGAACCTCACTCAGTGACACGGCCATTGTGAACCCCACCCACCAACACGGCCATCGTGAACCCCACCCAGTGACATGGCCATCGTGAACCCCACCCATCGATACAACCATCGTGAACCCCACCCACCAACACGGCCATCGTGAACCCCACCCATCGATACAACCATCGTGAACCCGCCCAACGACACAGCCATGGAAAAACCCACCCACCGACATGGCCATCGTGAACCCCATCTACCAACACGGCCATCGTAAAACCCACCCACCAATATGGCCATCGTGAACCCACCCACTGACACGGCCATTGTGGACTCACCCACCAAACACATCTTGCCTATACAACATCTGGGCAGTTCACTAGCATTTGTTCAAGCTAAATCATGAGTCTGCTGCTGATGAGACACTGAATGTTGAAACCGGCCCTTGCCTATAAACATCTGGGCAGTTCACCAACATTTGTTCAAGCAAAGGCTGACTCTGCTGCTGCTGCTGCTGATGACGAGAGACTGAATGTCGAAACCCGGTCCACAGTGTTGTTGCTTGTGCTGAACCAATGTTGCTGCTTATGTAGCAGGTATTCAGCCTGTGTGTGGTCAATGAGTTGTCTAGAAACGTTCTCATATACAGTCGGACTCTCGATTATCCGCGCTAATGACGGTGTCGGATGGCCGCGGACAATTCAAACGTCAGGGATAATCCAAGAATATAACCATTTTCCGCAGGTCTCTCTATGCCAAAAACCACTAAAATAGGTATGAATTATGTTTAAGTGAGGAAAATTTTGTTTGTTCATTAACAAAAGACGTATTTGTGGTAAAGAATGTATTGATTTTGTTTCACAGAACTGCCATCTGATTTCAAGTTAAAACAACAGCACTTCCGTTTCTCTGCCATCGCACAGTGTCGTAAATGAAAAATCTAACTAAATAAAGATGAAGGATAAATCACGAAAAATTAAGCACAACTAACGATTTCGAGTGATACTCTTTTGATTTAGAACGAATACTAACGATCGACCAATCGATGAGGTGCATTCTCAGTGAAGAATCCTGCCCACTCAGTGGACAGCAGAGACATGCCAATCAAAATCAATGAAACTTCGCCCACTGTTGTAAAGATATTGCAATGACTGAATTGTAGAGACGATCACGTGGATTTCTGATTAACCAGAGACACACATTTGTTCGGTTTAAGCATGTGACTTGTAATAAACATTTCCAAGAACAACAATGTGTAACTGTTTTTATACTATTAATTATGGCTTAAGGGAACATCCATGAATTATATACATGTCAAAATCTCAGGTGCATGGTTAATCCGCAAATCGGAAAAACCGCACGCAGATAATCGAGTCTAATGTATTTGTTCCTGTCTGTGCGTGTATGAGAGATGCACACACACACACCATCTGTTCCATCTTAGCTTGTTTATATTCCCCGTGAATTAAGAGGCCCCGTGTTTGATAATATATCCCACGTGCGTGTGCGTGCGTGTGCATATATGTGTGTGGGGAGCGGTAGTGTAGCGGTTAGCGCGCTGCGCTATGAACCTGGCGACCCGGGTTCGATTCCCGCTCACGGCTAACACCAGTGTCGATTATCTGAACCGGTCCTGGGCCTCCCCTAGGTCGACTCAGCCTTAAATGAGTACCTGGTGCAGTGTGTAAACATCGCCACTAGGGAGACAAAGGCGGTCGGGCGTGGTGCTGGCCACCCACCCCCTCGTGTACCGTTCCGGCCTTCATAGGTGCTCGCTAACAGCACTTGCCCCTACAGTCTGTTCAGGCTATACGGGGGATCTTTATCTTTATATATGTGTGTGCATCTCTCTTAGCTCTCTTGAGATTCTTAGCAGCCTGCGGCATGGATATGCACCTCTTGATTAGCATGGTTGGCTATGTACGGTGCCGGAGATTCAACATACATAGATACACTGTACAATACACTACAATACAGACTACTATATACTGCACTACACAATACACTACACCGTACAATACACACTATACACTACACTGTACAATACACTACACTACAGACTACTATATACTACACGACACAATACAAAAATTACTAACACTACACTGTACAATACACACTACTGTACACTAAACTATACAATACACACTATTAAACACTACACTGTACAATACACACCACTATACACTGTACAATACACTACTATACAGACTACTATATACTACACTACACAATACACTACACTGTACAATACACACTATACACTACACTGTACAATACACACTACTGTACACTAAACTATACAATACACACTATTAAACACTTCACTGTACAATACAAACTACTATACACTATACTATACAAAAGATACGATTCGCACGGTTGGCTACTTACGGTACGAAAGAAGTTCAACGTACATGCACATACATATACCATGCAGGCAAAACTCATGATTCCAATAACATGTTTGTGACGCCCAGGAGCCGTCCATAAATGACGTCACGCACCAAAGGGGGGGGGGGGAGGGGGGTCATGCATTTGTGACGATGTGTGACGAGGGGGGTTTGAGAAATGTGACGTCACATCAAAATGCGCAACTTTAATTCTAGATTTGAAGTTTTCGTGACTGTTTTTTTTCGGTTAAGTCACATAGGTACCTCCGTGACTTAACTTTAAATAAATATGAATTAAATAGAGTTGTTATAACAACACTAATTTTGATTAATTTTCATTATTAACTATTTGATTATTTAAATTTACTAAGTTCACCTTTGATTTATTCCATGAAGGAGCATTTTGCTTCTTCTTGGGAGAATGGAGAAGCATACATTTTGTAAAATTTTTGAATGACTGTTATTAAACATTTTGATTCTAATGATTCTACCAGGGCTTTTCATTCTGTGGAATGAATGTGATTCATCTTCTTGGTTCTTTCGGTAAAGTCACGTAGAAGGGAA